ACTACTACTACTGCTACCACTACCGCGTATACTGAGACCAATAACCACCAGTGCGGCGGCGACGACCACGACGACGACGACTGCACCACGACTAGGAGTACGACTACTACTTATGCTACATGTGATTATCCTCATCATATTCGTCTTCATCTTCATCTGCACAATACGGTGGACATGATGTTTGGACAACCCACCCACCTGAAATTGCGAAATGGCGGCTTCGGGACTATGTCCAAAGTGTCGCAGCAGCGCTTCTGCCACGGCAGTAGAAGTCCCGGTTGCTCGCTGCACCTGGTGGGAGCTTGTGCAAGACAAAGCTTCCTTGTCTGGCCGGGTTGCTACTACACTGTCGTACCTTGCACCCTACACCCCGAAGCGTGAACTTAATTCCTGAACTTTACTTCCATCCACAACTTACGCTTCTACCCCAAGATGCTCTGAAGCCCTAGACCGCCGATGTTTCGCCACAGAATCCAAAAGAGGGCATCCAGGCCTGCTCGACATCTTCGAGGACTCGGCCCCGAATCTGCTGGGCATCCTGCAACCTGCCATGGGGAAAACGAGACGGTCTATAATACCCTAAACCCTAAACCCTAAACCCCCCCTAAACCCTAAACCCTAAACTATAAGAGGTCTCAGGAATCTAGGGTTTATAGGCTAGGGGGTTGAGATCGTTTAGGTTTCCGGGCCAGGCTTTGCCGGGCTCAGGGTTTCGGGATCAGGGCCGGTAGGGCTTATAGGCAGGCTTGATGTAGGGATAAGGGATATTGTATTATTAGGGGGGGACAATTACGCTTATCACGAGGGCCGTACTATATGTAAGTATATATACCTTGGGGTCAGGACTGAGCCGAATTCTATGCGCTACTGTGAAAATCTATTAGGCCTCATTCTGTCTAAGAGCGACCAAGCAGCGCTGTGCCGCAGTCATCCGCGAGCTTGCCTGCATAAGCCAAATTCCCTACAGCGCGTGCCAGCCACTGCGGCATGCCGCCGTAGAGAATCCGATCCAAGATTGCAGCATCTGCCGTCCTGTCCTCCATGGTCCTGCAGCCCAGCTTTCCCAATTCGACTACGGCCTGCGCGTCACCACTTTCCAGTGCAAGATCCATGGCCGTTCGGTGGCCATCTGTTTGACCCAGGAGTAAAGCTGCCAAAGATTGTCGTGGCAGCCCACCTGACAGACCCCAAGCAGAATCAACTAAGACTTCGTCCACTGCACATACAGCAAACATCAGAAAAAAAAAAAAAAAAACATACGCTGCTTCAGCTATCCAATGTGCCAGCACAGGGACATGCAGGCCCCGGCGCAATGTGCAGCACATCGCCAGGTTTTGCGATGCAGCTGTGAAGCAAACCGCTTGCTGGTCGTCTCCGAAAATAGGCCTGGGACCCTCGGACCACGAAGCCGCCGTAGCCGTCCTCTAAGCAACGCTGCTGGCACCTCGGCATGCTTTTGAGGGCATGTCTCCTGAACAACTGTATTCAGTTATTGGTACGGAGCCTCGGGTCAAGAAAAGCATATAAAAGCATGACAGCAGCACCTCAACAGTGGCTCGGCGGGCATGGAGTCCAGCAAGTCATCATCCTGCTCCGGCGCGTCACAACCCCGGAGCACCAGCCAAGGCCTCCAGGTGAGTGCGGTCGACAAGGTCTGCAAGACCTCCAGTGGCATGAGGTAAAGTCGCCCTGAACTGTAAAAGATTGATCTTACAGTTGCTGTTCTACAGGGGCGCTCTTTTCGCACAGTCGCTCGCTTCCCGAACAGAAGCAGCATTGTGTCCTCTTGAAACATCACACAAGGCGGTGCCAATGCTGGCGGGACAACACAAAAGCCGTGGCTTGAAACACCGCAATCACAGTGCCAAAGACACACATGCCAAGCTTGGTCGCCCAAATGTGCAAGCAAGTCGAAGCGAGGCGAACAGAAGGGCTTCTCCGAGAAAGTCGCGCGTACTTTCTTCCTTCGTCTTGTGAGCAGCATGAGAAGGCTGAACAACAGTGTGCAATTGCTGGGGCACCGCAATCATGGCTTGAGAAAATTGAACGCGCGGACAAGGCTCAGCTTGCAACCGAAGACGAGGATCTTTTGCCGGTTCGGGAAGGAGCAGCATGGGCGCATCCAGACACTCCGCATTAGCTGGAGTGTTGTACAGACCTCCGGTTACTTCCGCACCTGCCCCATGTCATACCCAATCGTAACCCTGCGCTTCTTCGGAGAGGCGGCTCCCGCCTGCGCCTGTGTAGAAAAGGATGAAGGCTCCGGCCTAGTGCACAGATCCTCGCGGGACGCTCCTCGTATAACCCATAGTCCAGCACCGGACGTCAACAGCAAGAGCTGCGTAAGCTTCCAGCGCGTGAAGCAAGGGTTGCCTTTGTGCTGGTTCAAGTATTCATAGCATCCTGACAAGTCTTGCAGCTGCTGCGCAAAGGTGAAGATGTACAACAAGGCGATTTCCAAGATCCTGTCTTCGACCCTTGGTAATCTGCGAAAGATGGAGCCAGCTGGTAAAGGACGTGTCGGCGGGCTTTTTTCAAGAGACGTTGCTGGGAGTCCGCCGCGTTGACGCAGAAGTCTGCACGAGCAGGCTGTTGTCGGCACGTCGGCACCGGAGATCCTGGTACATTGGTTTCGTTCACAAAAGCCAGTTCAGTGGCCGCCGACAGCGAGCCCACTGAAGGCCTTCATCTTCGGGCGGCAGGCGGACTTGACACAGTGCGTGCAAGCAGGAGACTTGTCGTTGGTGATGCTGCTCATAGATTTCAGATGTCTTTCGTGTGAGTGCTTCGAACACGTGTTCAGAGTTGAAAGACGCAGGAATCGGCGCGGCAAAAATTAAGCTACACCTGCACATTCCGTTGAGCAAGCTGCACTGGTTCATGCAATGGTCCCGGGAACATCCTACCAACTGGGCCATGCAGGACGCGCAGGAGCCGGAGTAGCCCTTCTTCTGCATGCAGTCCTCATATCTGCGAGATTCTCACCGTATGAGTGACAGTGCTGCTACACCAGGTCAGGATCATGTAACGCAACCCTGAATCCCCGGAACGGTTTGCACTCGACTTCCCCGGCATATCCCGACTCGCATGTAGTCCTTGGTGCATGGGTGCATGGGAAGCCAGCAGCACAACCATGGCCGCAACTGTTGAGGGCGGCGTCAAAGCTCTTCTTGCCGCCGCTCTTCTAAGTCTTCATGTCTGCAGCACCGGTGCAGCCGCCGCCCTCGAGCTCAGCCTCTTCCTCCACCTGCGTGGACTCCTCCTCATCATCCTCCAAAGCCTCCAGGTAGTGGACTTTGACGCCGCACAGCTGGTTGAGCTCCAAGCTGCCTTTTTTGCCCGCCTTCGCAGATGTCGGCCTTGCAGACGTCATCCGACGCCAAAGCTGTGGCCACGTCCTCTCCGAAGGCACCCGCAAAGCTCATGAACAGGAACAATGCTCGAATAGCCATGGCCGGCAAGTGCGTGAAATCAGGAAACGCTTCTCGGAGCTACTTTGAGAGTCCATACTGAGGCAGATGAAACACGCACAATGCTGCTTCGGGGTTAGAAGCTTACCCATGCATGGCTTACTGATCAACACCTCTCATTATCAAAAGACACTGGATCCTGCAACAAATGTGAACCCTGCATCGTCCCCCAGACCAGACCGACTACTGTACCGCGGTGCCTCTGCACCACCCACCGCACCGCACCGATGGAAGGCGGTGGGCGCCATCAAACTGATCCTTTGCTGTTTTTTTAAGCCTGTTCTACCCTGAGCATGACGGACATGGAGCTTCTGTAACAGCGGGCCGGAGGTCGCTCCTTTCACAGCCCATCCAGATGCAAGACTTGACAGACGAGCCCGGAAAATCATTCAGCTCCAACAAGCCTCTTCGAGCAACGCCCGCTTTCAACAGTGACCCTGGGCGAGCAAGTCCTTTAGTGTATGTATACTACTAAGGGCACGGTGCATTCAGGATGTCGGGCAGTAATTGGCGAGGAGCGACAGCCGGAGGAGCTACATGCAGGGAACCCCGAACAGATCCCGAAATCTTACTGACAGTCAGAGGATCATGTCGAGTGGGTCGCCCGGCTCCGGCGGCAAAATTAGATGAAAGGTCTCCTCCAACCTCGGAAAGGTGGGGATGCTATCGGATGCAGGGGTCAAGGTTAGAGGGTTTAGCACAGGTCGCAGAGTTTTGATTGGGAGTTCAGGTCGAGGTGAATTCTTCTGGGCCCACCTCTGAACGCAAACTAGAACGGAAGTCGTCCTGAACCTATCCCGCGCCAAGCCGAATCCGGATAGGGATTAAAGTTACCCACCAAGCCCGGGCAGGCGGTGTCGAAAAACGACCACACCAAGCCTTAAACCAATTTCCCGACAGGCCATGTGAGGCCAATCATGCTATGTTATATGATTTCCTACACGGTCCTACACGCACTGACCATCGCCACAGCCTCAACTTGCAAGCCCGCGTCTTCCGGACCACTTCCGACCTCCACTATACGCTCCACAGTAACCGGTAGCACCCCTTGCGCCAAGTTCTCACAGACTTTTTACCGGAATTATACCCTAAACTTACCTGGACCTATCCAAGCCGAGACTCTGCCGTCGCAGTGCGGACCCGTGGATGCTGTCGCCGAGGAGCCGGCGCAGTAGAACTGCCCGGCGCCTTGCCGGTCCGCTTTTTGTCACTGGCCCGGGGCTTCAGAAAGCCGGGGTTGGGGTGTCTGATGCCACTTGATTACTTCATGGCTCTTAACCCGTTTTGGATGCACAGCCGACCCTGCAAGAACCTTCTATAAATAACTCCATCTTAGGATCCAGGAGAAGGTAACCTTGACGACGGCTCCCACCATGAAGCTGGTCGCTGTGCTACACGCACTTCCCTGCGTATCTGGATGCGTATCACAGCCATCGTTGTCACCTGGCCGAAGCTGCTGCGCGCCGTCGCAGCCGCGGTGTAGGGCGCAGGCCGTGCCGCAACAAAAGCCCTGAAACGGTGATTGGGTTGGGGTCGAAACAGTAGATGGTGATACAAGTAGCTCTCGACTTATTCTGAGGCTTGCAACATAACGCTTTGCACGGGGTGGCAGTGGTTTGCTTCGGCCAAACTCAAAAGTGGCTGAACCCTATCACCATTCTATTCCTCGTGATAGTCTTTGACAGCGGTTTCTACAATGTTAGCAGTCAAAATGGCCTAAATGAGCTTGCTGATTTTCTGACTGCACTCACCAAAACGGGCATGGGGTGAACGGTAGGTGCGACGACTCGGGGGCCTTTGAAATTGGCAGTCCTTGTCTCTCGACAGGTACAGTCATCGTGCAGCCTGAAAATGCTTCACCTGGACCAACTACGTAGCGCCTCCGAACATGACACAGACATCCCCAGTCCGTCCCGGGCCGTCCTTGGCAAATGTAGTCCAATGCTTGGCCATCGAAGCCGTTTTCATGATCCTGCGCAAGATCATCCAGTACGTTGCAGTATGGTGCGATATGACATGAACATATGCTGGCACAACCACGATCGTGATAAAAGGGACGCTTTAATCATGTGTCCAATGCGATGCACCATCACGGACTCCTGATGATGATAGCCCCTGCTCCAAGCACCTTCATCATACTCGTCATCATCATCATCATCATCATCAGAATCATCCAAATCACCATCATCATCGTCAGTATCTCGTCGTTGTCATCGCCATGCCCATCATCATCACCACCCTCATCATCCTAACATGTCGTAGTCGTCAATGTTGCCATCACAGTCCTGTCATCCAAATCTTCAGAAAACATCAAATCACGGCCGAAAACAACACATAAATCAAACATCCTCTCGAGAGAGGAACCGCAGTGGTCATGTGCGGAACTGATAATGAGCACTAGTATATATTCCCTTGAAATGGTAGAAGTGCTATTGGCCGGTGCTAAATCAAGCACAATCAGTAAACATGTCAAGAGCCAGTATAACGCGAACATAACTCTGCCATGTAACCCCGCTAGAAGACCGCTCTGCCAAGCCACATCGGGATATCTTCGCTCCAGGTTTGCAGGGCCTGTTCGGCTCCAGCCAAGGCAATGCGGCACCAACTCAGGATGTAGCATCTCCAACACCATCCTTGAGACATGCTCAGAAAGCGGACGGCGACGATGCCAACCCTTGAAAAAAAGGCTCGCGGACACGGCTTCTAACTAGCTGCATCAGTATATTCGGCATGACCACACAAGTGCTTGCCTGATCACGGCTATCGGTACGGTTCAACCACATTGCTGCGATTCAGCCAGGTGGCGGTTCGTCACCACTGATTAATGCAGTTCGCAGCAACGCGTCGGAGGCGACAATCTGCATGTTGAGGAGTTGAGGGTATGCGTTTTGGTTGACGGCTCTTTTCCGCCGATATCCGCTCATATAGGGTGGGTCTACAACCTACAATCTGTAAAGCAAAGGGTATAGTAATCAAGTTTGGGAAGACGGGTTCCCGACAGCGTAAAGGGCGACTGTGGAAACTTGAAACGACGTCCGCAACAAGATGAACAAATATCTATCCTGTGGCGGCGCGAGATCGCCGGAGTCTTTTCACGTGAACAGAGATCTCTCTGCGCACGGTGAGAACCAAGCGTGCTCGCCGCGGCAATCCTTTATGCATGAAAATGCTCCTTTGCGCACGGACAGAGATGCAAGTGTGCTCGCAACGTGACAACGCAAGAGGCAATTTTGCCTCATGAACAGATCTACGCGCACTCGCGTTGTGAGAACGCAGCAGTAGTCTTTTCGCATGAACATGTCTCTGCCAAAATTCACCGTTGTTAGCATTCTCTTTTCTGGTGATGCCATGTCATGACGGTTTCGCAAGCTCTATCGCAGCCGCCAGAACATGCTTTCAGTGAAACGTTTGAGGAACATGTATCGGAATCCCTATACACCATCTCGGAAGATCCCGCGCGTCTTTCTTAAAACTGCAATAGCACCGAGGAATACCCGGTTTTGAGCAACAACTACTACAAGTCTCTGTCATGAAAACATGTCTCGATTTCTCTGCACGCGGACAGAGACCCAAGTGTGCTGGTGGCCTTAGTTAGTGCACCAGCCTGTCTTGCTGCGTGAAACCATGTCTCTTTGCGCACGGAAAGAAATCCAAGTGTGCCCACAACGTGAGAATGTTTCACATGAGCACGTCTCCAGAGAGATCCAAGTGTGCTCGCGGCGAGGGAACATAGCAATGTCTTCGCATGATAGCATGTTTCGGGTGCACGGAGTGAGATCCAAGTGTGCTGGCAACACGAGAACGCAGCAGTCTTGTCGCATGAGCATTTGTTGCGCACGGAGAAGATCCAAGTGTGCTGGGCTGAGAGCAGCCTTTCGCATGAACAGCTCTCTATATGCGCACGGGGAGAGATCCAGGTTGAGAACGCAACTGTCTTTTCGCATGAAGGCGCTTCTTTGAGCCCAGCTTGCGAGGACTCAGCACCGCCGCGAGATCCAGAACACGGCATATTCGCACGTCATTGCGAAGGCAGGAATGTGTGTGTGTGTGTGTCCGCTGCTGAAGCAGAGGGCACAATGTTTGCGAATGAACATGCCTGAACACACGGAGAAAGACCCACGTGTGCGTGGGCTGCGAAGTCTGCATAACAATGTGAAGGACTGGCTATAGCTGCAGTATTTCAAGGCCCTTCAGGAATCTGATCCGTAGTCAACAGCTCATACTGCACAAACCCTAGACAAGGAATCTTGCGACTGCCATCCTTCCTAAACTAGGACCGCTTTCCAGCGTGTTTGTGGACATGTGCCTTAAACCCGAAAGTTTTCCTTCAATGCTGCACCGAGACTAACCCAAGAGGACACCGGATCAATGACCACTCATCCAACCAAATCTGCAAAACGACCAGGGCACCGTTTGGCGAAACGGTCGTAGCTTGGCAAAAATGCGGCGACCCCAGCGACGAATGGAAACATGACCTGCAGGGCAGTCGTCATTGGAACAGGTCACGACCAAACTAAAGCGTTAGTAGCAAAGCAATGCGATTGGCATGCGTCTCAGACGACATGGAGATAGCGGTGCCGTCCATGAACAAAACAACAAGGAACATCACCCCAGAACCCGAAACAGCAAACGCAGTGAGACAGATCCGAAAACGTGCACCCTGCATATTCAACATTCGTCGTCATCAACCCTCGCCGTCAGCTGACAGGGCTTGACAATTAACCTCACCCTCGAAATGCTGCAAGGCATACTTATTCACAATTCCCTATGGTAGCCTTCACACTTGACGCTGCCTGTATGGGGCTTTCTGTGAATAAGGGGTCATCTTCGTGGTGGTCCGTGCATATCACCAGCGAGCTGCGAGTTGAGGAGGCCTATTGGGGACCACTTCTCTTCGAAGGTTCTTAGGGGAAAATCTAGAGTTCAAAGGATATTAAACCCAGGCTGGGACTGGAATACTCTGGCCCAGAGTTTGGGTCTCGAAGCCAAAATTTACGCGAGGCCTCGACTAACGCTCAAGCCTCACCCTTCCATCTATCCCGGAACTCTAAACCTCAGGCCTTTGAAGCTGCAACCACATGCCATCAGCAGGTAAACTCTGAGCCTATAAACCGTCTCGTGCTAGGCGCCAGTAACTATATCTAAACCCTTCTGAAGCCTTAAACCCCCTGAAGCCCATAGATTCAACAACCGTCCTGAACCCTTCTCTTAGCCAGGGTGCGCTCGCTACCTGCAGGCCGCATGGTCGAAGGCACGATGACCTAGCCGTGTGTGTGTGTGTGTGAGAGAGAAAATGTTGGCCTACGATGTGGCGGGGATTAGTTTAGAAGGAAACATGTGTCCAGGGCGTAGCACGTATTCAAACAGGGTCGACCATAGCCAAGCGAGCCTGAGATTGTGGAGCTATTGCAAACCAGAATACTGGCAAGAGGTTCAATTGACGACACAAGTCGGGTGGACCAGAGCACTCAAGTCTGTCAGATTCCTCGAGTGTTGTTTGCAGGCGTCTTGTTTTGTCTGTTAATTCGCAATTTTAATCTTTGGCCGCACCCAAAAAATCACGACACTGCGGCGGGACCGCATAGTTACCGTACCGATTCGGCTTCTGGAGGGGACACTCTCTCCCTCTCCCTTTCCCTCTCCCTCTGCCTCTCTCTCTCGCTCTCCTCTGTCTCTCTCGTTCTCCCCCTCCCTCCCTCCCTCCCTCCCTCCCTCGCTCGCTCTCTTCTTCCCCCGGGCATAAGGGACTGGTCAGGTCCCTCCGCCCCATGGGCCCCCCACGTGTTATGGGGCTTTGAAGGGACTGTGATAAGTCTCTCTCTCTCTCTCTCTCTCTCTCGCTCTCTCTAACAACCAAACTAAAGTAGAGCCAATAAACCAACACCCGCGAACACTAAAGACCAAGTGTAGCAGGCCAAGCCCTACATTTTAAAACCCAGTAGCTTCAAAAAAAGCCTAGGACCGGACAGGACCCGTGCCGGGGCCTTGTCCGGGCTTACAAAAAATCGTGTGAAAAACATATAGAGCTGACTTTGGGAAATTTCGGGTCTAGGGTTTCGGGTTTAGGGTTGCAGTGTTCCCAACATGCTGCTGTATGCACGTTGTGCGCAGAAGGAGCCTTCGGATGGCTACTGAAAACGAACGAAAAGGCAGAAGGAGAATTCGGATGGCCACGGCCCGGGCCATTTTGGACAAACTGACAACGAACGAAAAGGCAGAAGGAGAATTCGGATGGCTACGGCCCGGGCCATTTTGGACAACACTGAAAACGAACGAAACGGCAGAAAGAGAATTCGGATGGCTACGGCCCGTGCCTTTTTGGACAAAACTGAAAACGAACGAAAAGGCGGAAGGAGAAATGGGATGGCTACGCTACGGCCCAGGCCATTTTGGACAAACTGAAACGAACGAAAAGGCAGAAGGCTAATTCGGATGGCTGAGGCTCGGGGCCCGGGCCATTTTGGACAAACTGAAAACGAAGTAAAATGCAGAAGTAGAATTCGGAAGGCTACGGCCCGGGCCATTTTGGACAAACTGAAAACGAACGTAAAAGGCAGAAAGAGAATTCGGATGGCTACGGCCCGGGCCATTTTGGACAAACTGAAAACGAAGTAAAAGGTAGAAGGAGAATTCGGATGGCTACGGCCCGGACCATTTTGGACAAATTGAAATCGAACGAAAAGGCAGAAGGAGAATTCGGATGGCTACGGCCCGGGCCAGTTGGACAAACTGAAAACGAACGAAAAGCCAGAAGGAGAATTCGGAGGGCTACGGCCCGGGCCAATTTGGACAAACTGAAAACGAACGAAAAGTCAGAAGGAGAATTCGGATGGCTACGGCCCGGGCCAATTGGACAAACTGAAAACGAACGAAAAGCCAGAAGGAGAATTCGGATGGCTACGGCCCGCGCCAGTTTGGACAAACTGAAAACGAACGAAAAGGCACAAGGAGAATTCGGATGGCTACGGTCCGGGCCATTTTGGACAACCTGAAAACGAACGAAAAGGCACAAGGAGAATTCGGATGGCTACGGCCCGGGCCATTTTGGACAAACTAAAACCGAACGAAAAGGCAGAAGGAGAATTCGGATGGCTACGGCCCGGGCCATTCTGGACCAGCTGCTAACGAAACAAAGGCAGAGGGAGAATTTGGATGGCTACGGCCCGGGCCATTTTGGACAAACTGGAAACGAACGAAAAGCCAGAAGGAGAATTCGGATGGCTACGGCCCGGGCCATCTTGGACAAACTGAAAACGAACGAAAAGCCAGAAGGAGAATTCGGATGGCTACGGCCCACTGAAAACGAACGACAAGGCAAAAGGAGAATTCGGATGGCTACGGCCCGGGCCATTTTGGACAAGCTGAAAACGAACGAAAAGGCAGACGCGGAATTCGGATGGCTACACTTCGGATGGCTACGGCCCGGGCCATTTTGGACAAACTGAAGACGAACGAAAAGGCAGAAAGAGAATTCGGATGGCTACGGCACGGGCCACGTTGGACAAACTGAAACGAACGAAAGGACAGAAGAGGAATTCGGAT